AAAGTTTGTGTTGTAAATGGCTTGTCTAGTTTTTGTAAAATCTATCCATGAGGAAGTTTGTGTGGAAGGTTGGTTTTTTATGAGAGTATCCAGTTTTGAGAGCTGATTCTTAATCTTTCCCTGTTTGCTGTATAGGATGTTGATCAGGTGGTTTCACAGTTTCTTTGAGAGTGTGTGGCACAATCTCTCAGCATAGTCTATGTAATATGTAGATTGTAATGGATTTTTTACCCTTAGTTCTTTTGGTATGATGTCCATCTGTTTGCATTTGGAAAGGAAGATGATGTCTGTCTGTATCTGTACGAGTTTTTTCATGAAGTTGATGGAAGCTGTAATATGCATGCTCGGTAGTTAAGCACTGAAGCATCTCCTTGTTGATGCTGGAGCATTCTGACATCGCCAACAGTAACACAACACCCAGCACGCTTGTATCCCATCATGTAGCACCCACAAAAGAGCTTGCATCTGCACATAATTATTTACACCACCACTGTGCTTGTGCTTGCTCCGGACAAGGCTAAGCCTGGCATTTATCCACCACCATATGACTCTACTGTTGCACTGCCAGTGCAGAGAGCAAACACTGGCTTAGCAGCAACAACCATGCAGTTTGTCATCCTAGTGTAATCCCACAGTGCTCCTGCCCATGTTTCAGTGACTGCTTTGGTAGCTCAGACCGTTCTGCCACTTACCTATTGGCTGCTTGTAGACCCAAGAGCCATTGACTACTCAGCTAGTCTTAGCAGTGCACGTCCCCCATTCAGGACAGGTCTGCAACAACCGGAGACAAACATGTCTGGTATCTGCTTGGTTCTGTCCCTCCTCCACAGTTGCCCACTTCTCTCTCTCCATCCCCACCCCAATTTTCCAAAGCAGTAAAGACAGGCTGGAAAATACAACCTTGTTATTATTTAGGGCAGGTAAAACTGTAAACTTTGTTTGGTCCTATGGGGATTTATCTGCAAAGCACAAACATCAAAGGATAGCAGCTAACCTAGGGTGCATATGCACAAGTACTTATTTACTGGGCTTAGACGCTGCATCACAGCGTCTCCCATCCTCCTGAGATCTGGAAAACAAAGAAAGGGTCATGAGTTAAAGGATACACAGCACACAATCCTTTCCCCACTATCCCCTAGTAGATTCATTTAGCTCCCCACTACACCAGACACCACTCATCCCACCAACAACCAGTCCGTCCTCTGGGCCCCCACTGCATGAAGTGAAGGATTGGGGCAGAGGTTGCCAACTGGGCACCACTGAGGAGCTGGCAGGGATAGCCTCCCTGCCATTGCACACCCAGACCATTTTAATCTCCGTCTCCCACAGGGGACCACAAGAGAAAAGGGAGCAGTCATTTAACTACAAAACAAAGCAAAACAATGAGTATTAAAACAAGAATAGGAAAAAATATTGAACTTAAAAAAATTGGAATAAGTGAATGACAATAATTAAATCCAGCTCCTATTTACTGGTGCATCGCCCCTACACAAGAATAGCAGTGCTCCTCCAATAGTCCTCAAGCATCTAGGCCTGGAGTCGGTTCAGCGATGGCCTACTCAGAAGGTGAGTCTGTTGCCCTTTTGCCTTGGCATCTGCACTGTGAACAGAACAGATGGTGTATACCATTTCCTGTGTGCACCTACTCCATGGAGTGTGCTGCGAATAGTGGGATAGGGGCAGCAAACCATAGAGACTTCCAGTGCTTGCAGTGCGTATAAGGTTGCCACCCATCTAATTTTTACCTAGCCAGTCCAGTTTTTGGCTTCTGTATCCAGGTGCCATTTAGGGTTGCCAGGTGCCCAGTTTTCAGGGACCTAGTAACCCTAAATGGCACCCAACCAAAAGCCCAGCTGCCATGGCGTGGGAGGAGGTGCCAGGTCATTAACCCATGCCAGCCCCTGCTCAGCCAGGGCCACCTCCTATCTGCAGGCAGGCTCCTTGAGATGATCCAGTGAGTGACGGGGGGGGGGGGTGAGAGGGAGAGGAGTAAGTGATGGGGGCAGGGCCTTGGGGGAAGAAGCGGAGCAGAAGGTGGGGCCTCTGGGGAAGAGATGGAGCAGGGGGTGGTGTCTTGGGAAGAAGAGACAGGGCAGGGGCAGGGCCTTGGGGGTCAGGTTACCAGGAATTGGAAAGGTGGCAACCATAGGTGAGTGCTGCATGTAGATACAGTGCAGCTCTTTGCAGCCAAGACAAGACGGCTGGTATAGATGCCCTTCACCATTGTAGCTTGCCCTGGAGCAGCCCCACTTGTTCAAGATGCAACAGAACAAGCCCCCTAGTGCAGATGAAGCTATAGAGAGATGCTGATCAATCCTTCTCAGAATGGAAAATGGTTTTGTTCCCCCACCACTCCCTTTGGCATTGTAGCAGATGTACAATATGGGAGGATTATGGTAGCCTAGGTAAAAGAAGTTTATCTATAACAGATACGCTATTTGCTTAGAGGCTTTGCTGTTGATATTGCATATGACTCTCAGTGGGACAATAATTTGAAAGAAGGAGAAATTTATAATATCACCTGTCCCTGTTCCCCTACACAGAGATGGGGTGGCGGGGGGAGTCTTTTCTTATGAGCTCCCTCATATGACCACACACTCAGTGCAGCTTGGAATTTTATACAGCAGCATTGGCCTTCAGTGGTTTAATTAAAAGAATTGTTCACATGATTATACATTGTTCCTTGGAGCTGATAAAAACTTTGAGAACTAACAATATGTTTTCAGGCTTAACATTCTGTCATGCACAGTTTACATGCCAAGAAATATTCTTTGGTTAGCAAACAGAACACACCAAATGAATTACGTTCCCTTTGCTTATTGAATTAACTTGACAGTGAAACAGCTGCCTTTAGCACATCTGAAAGACAGTTGTGAAACCGTCTTTTTTATTCATGTAAAGTACAGCTTTATGTGTATCTATTTTGTTTTCTGACTTTTGGTGAAATTGCCAATTTTATCTGAGCCTGGTAAATGACATTGGAGCTGTTCTTACCCTTGCTGTCTCTGAAGTTGAAGAATGTAGGGTGGAATAACATAGCTCCCTTAGAGAATGCAGGAATGTTGAGGTACTTTTAATGTTCCTGGACTGGAGAACAGAAAATAAGACACAAATCCATCCATCTCTGTAAAAGTAATACTTTATTTCCAAATTAATCTCTAAGGATAATGCATCCCTCAGCAGACACGTGACTAAATCCTTGCCTACCACACTAAAAATGTACCATTCCTCCTTAGCAACCAAGGCAAAGCAAAACAAAAACACATAAGAACCTTCGATAAAACCAAAGCCTAAGAAAGGAGAAAGAGGGTAACTGGGCCAAGAGAGGCTGCCTGCAGAGGGACCATCTCTGACTGCTGTCACAAGCTAAGTAGGGTCAGACCTAGTTGGCATGTAGGTGGGAGTCATTCAAAGAAAAATCCCATGTGCTGCAAGAAGTGGTGTTCACCAGTCAGTAGGTGGCACTGCCATACCTCCAAGTCATTTCTCATCCTAGCATAGCTTTCTATGCTGCTGGAGGTGCAGGCTTTTGCTGTTTGTAACCCAAACCTTGAAGCAAGAAAAAAAATATATTTTTTTAATTTTCTGTATAAAAAAAAAAAAGTTACCATTTTTGACCTGATTTACTGATTACATTGGTGTCTTGCATATCAACCTGCCTGCTTGGGACCTGAGGCTTCTACACACGCACTACCTCTCTACCCTCATTTTTGTTGACCAAGATTGGTGGTCCTTAGCCATTTTTATGAAGCCAAAGCAGAAGTTCAAGTCCCTGGCATCTGAATATATTTTCTAAAACTACGCAAAGAGCCAAATTCTTAATATTCCTTTCTCCTTGTGGCTGTTCTGACTATTTAGACTGTAAATTCTTCCAGCAGGGACTGGCTCTTAGAGAGAGTGAGTGAGGGGGAAAGAGAGAGAGCAAGTGCGCTTGGTGGGCACTACTGGAACACAAACATGAATAGTGGCAGTTGCACGGCACTTTCTGGGATATGTCCCAATGTTCATTTTATTGTAGTTCAGGGTATTTCTCTCGTGCTCATCACCATAGCTTCTGTGTATAAGTGGATCAACACAGTTTTCCCTCTTCAGTGTTTTGTTCTCATGTTCAATGCATCTGGAACAGTATAAATGAATGCAGCAGAATACAAAAACACAATGATTTTTTTAAAAGCCTTATATGTGGAAAGCTTTGTTAGGCATCTGAACACATACTAATAACCAATCAGTTTTACAACCAAGGGGAAATTGTTTTAGAGCTCAACAGTCAAAGTGTTAGTATCATAGGATTCCATCCCCCCCCCACACACACACACATATACCTTTTGTGGTATGTGTGTGATTTATAAGAACATTAGACATAGAAACACTTGTTTTGCAACACTTTTGTTAGATCTTATGTACTTATATAGGTTTTTATATGACCCCATCACAGTAATATCTAAGCACTTGTTATCCCTGAGTATAGGGATAGGGGTAAATATTTTTCGTTATCAAAAATAACTTTTCTTTCACTCGGGTTTATCTTGTCCCAAGCATATGCTTGTCTCAAAGATGAGGTCATGCATACCTCAATACACATGGCTGAGGCAGTGAAACTGCAAATGGGCATTTTAAAGCAGTTGTGCTTTCTTTACTCTCTTCAATATTACTTAGCCCTGGTCTACACTAGGAGTTGAGGTCAAATTTAGCAGCATTAAATCGATTTAACCCTGCACACGTCCACACTACGAAGCACTTTTTTTCGACTTAAAGGGCTCTTAAAATCTATTTCTTTACTCCACCCCCGACAAGGGGATTAGTGCTGAAATTGGCCTTGCTGGGTCGAAATTGGGGGTAGTGTGAATGCAATTAGATGGTTTTGGCCTCCGGGAGCTATCCAAGAGTGCTCCATTGTGACCACTCTGGACAGCGCTCTCAACTCAGATGCACTGGCCAGGTAGACAGGAAAAGGCCCGTGAACTTTTGAATCTCATTTCCTGTTGGGCCAGCGTGGCAAGCTGCAGGTGAGTGCAGAGCTTATCAGCAGAGGTGACCATGATGGAGTCCCAGAATCGCAAAAGAGCTCCAGCATGGACTGAACGGGAGGTACGGGATCTGATCACTGTATGGGGAGAGGAATCCGTGCTATCAGAACTCCGTTCCAGTTTTTGAAATGCCAAAACTTTTGTCAAAATCTCCCAGGGCATGAAGGACAGAGGCCATAACAGGGACCCGAAGCAGTGCCACGTGAAACTTAAGGAACTGAGGCAAGCCTACCAGAAAAACAGAGAGGCAAACGGCCGCTCTGGGTCAGAGCCCCAAACATGCCACTTCTATGATGAGCTGCATGCCATTTTAGGGGGTTCAGCCACCACTACCCCAACCCTGTGCTTTGACTCCTTCAGTGGAGAGGGAGGCAACACGGAAGCAGGTTTGCGGAACGAGGAAGATGATGATGATGAGGTTGTAGATAGCTCACAGCAAGCAAGCGGAGAGACTGGTTTTCCCAACAGCCAGGAATGGTTTCTCATCCTGGACCTGGAGCCAGTACCCCCCGAACCCACCCAAGGCTGCCTCCCGGACCCGCCAGGTGGAGAAGGGACCTCTGGTGAGTGTACCTTTTAAAATACTATACATGGTTTAAAAGCAAGCGTGTTTAATGATTAATTTGCCCTGGCATTCGCGGCCAGTACAGGCACTGGAAAAGTCTGTTAACGTGTCTGGGGATGGAGCAGAAATCCTCCAGGGACATCTCCATAAAGCTCTCCTGGATGTACTCCCAAAGCCTTTGCAGAAGGTTTCTAGGGAGGGCAGCCTTATTCCATCCACTATGATAGGACACTTTACCATGCCAGGCCAGTAGCACGTAGCTGGGAATCATTGCAGAACAAAGCATTGCAGTGTATGTTTGCTGGCGTTCAAACAAGATCCGTTCTTTATCTCTCTGTGTTATCCTCAGGAGAGTGATATCATTCATGGTCACCTGCTTGAAATAGGGTGCTTTTCTTAAGGGGACGTTCAGAGGTGCCTGTTCCTGCTGGGCTGTTTGCCTGTGGCTGAACAGAAATGTTCCCCGCTGTTAGCCACGGGGAGGGGTGAGGGGTTAGCCACATGGTGGGGGGAGGCAAAATGCGACCTTGTAACGAAAGCACATGTGCTATGTATGTAACATTAACAGCAAGGTTTACCGTGAAAGACTGTACCCATTGTTCTATAAAATGTATCTTTTTAAATACCACTGTCCCTTTTATTTTCTCCACCAGCTGCATGTGTTTCAAGGATCACAGGATCTTCTCCTTCCCAGAGGCTAGCGAAAATTAGAAGGCAAAAAAAACGCACTCACGATGAAATATTCTCTAACCTCATGCTGTCCTCCCACACTGACCGAGCACAGACGAATGCATGGAGGCAGACAATGTCAGAGTGCAGGAAAGCACAAAATGACCAGGAGGAGAGGTGGTGGGCTGAAGAGAGGGCTGAAGCTGATAGGTGGTGGCAGCATGATGAGAGGAGGCAGGATTCAATGCTGAGGCTGCTGGAGGATCAAACTAATATGCTCCAGCGTATGGTTGAGCTGCAGGAAAGGCAGCAGGAGCACAGACCGCCGCTACAGCCCCTGTATAACCAACCACCTTCCTCCCCAACTTCCATAGCCTCCTCACCCAGATGCCCAAGAACGCGGTAGGGGGGCCTCCCATCACTCCACCCCAGAGGATTGCCCAAGCAACAGAAGGCTGGCATTCAATAAGTTTTAAAGTGCTGTGTGGCCTTGTCCTTCCCTCCTCCACCACCCCTCCTGGGCTACCTTGGCAGTTATCCCCCTATTTGTGTGATGAATTAATAAAGAATGCATGAATGTGAAGCAACAATGACTTTATTGCCTCTGCAAGCGCTGATCGAAGGGGGGAGGGGAGGGTGGTTGGCTTACAGGGAAGTAGAGTGAGCCAAGGGCAAGGGGGGGCGGGGTTCATCAAAGAGAAACAAACAGAACTTTCACACTGTAGCCTGGCCAGTCATGAAACTGGTTTTCAAAGCTTCTCTGATGCGCACTGCGCCCTCCTGTGCTCTTCTAACCACCCTGGTGTCTGGCTGCACGTAACCAGTGGCCAGGCGATTTGCCTCAACCTCCCACCCCACCATAAACATCTCCCCCTTACTCTCACACATATTGTGGAGCCCACAGCAAGCAGTAATAAAAATGGGAATATTGGTTTTGCTGAGGTCTAAGCGAGTCAGTAAACTGCGCCAGCGTGCTTTTAAATGTCCAAATGCACATTCTACCACCATTCTGCACTTGCTCAGCCTGTAGTTGAACAGGTCCTGACTACTGTCTAAGCTGCCTGTGTCTGGCTTCATGAGCCATGACATTAAGGGGTAGGCTGGGTCCCCAAGGATAACTATAGGCATTTCAACATCCCCAATGGTTATTTTCTGGTCTGGGAAGAAAGTCCCTTCCTGCAGCTTTTGAAACAGACCAGAGTTCCTGAAGATGCGAGCATCATGTACCTTTCCCAACCATCCCATGTTGATGTTGGTGAAACATCCCTTGTGAGCCACCAGTGCTTGCAGCACTATTGAAAAGTACCCCTTGCGGTTTATGTACTTGCCGGCTTGGTGCTCCGGTACCAAGATAGGGATATGGGTTCCGTCTATGGCCCCACTACAGTTAGGGAATCCCATTGCAGCAAAGCCATGCACTATGACCTGCACATTTCCCAGGGTCACTGCCCTTGATATCAGCAGATCTTTGGTTGCGTTGGCTACTCGCATCACAGCAGCCCCCACAGTAGATTTGCCCACTCCAAATTGATTCCCAACTGACCGGTAGCTGTCTGGCGTTGCAAGCTTCCACAGGGCTATTGCCACTTGCTTGTGAACTGTGAGGGCTGCTCTCATCTTGGTATTCTGGCACTTCAGGGCAGGGGAAAGCAAGTCACAAAGTTCCATGAAAGTGCCCTTAAACAAAAATTTTGCAGCCACTGGGAATCATCCCAGACCTGCAACACTATGCGGTCCCACTAGTCTGTGCTTGTTTCCCAGACCCAGAATCGGCGTTCCACAGCATGAAACTGCCCCATTAGCACCATGATGCCCACATTGCTAGAGCCCATACTTTGAGAGAAGTCTGTGTCTATGTCCTCATCACTCTCGTCACCACGCTGACGTCGCCTACTTTCCCAGTGTTGCTTTGGCAGGTTCTGGTGCTGCATATACTGCTGGATAATGCGCGGGGTGTTTAATGTGTTCCTAATTGCCAAAGTGATCTGAGCGGGCTCCATGCTTGCCGTGGTATGGCATCTGCACAGAAAAAAAGCGCGGAAAAATTGTCTGCCGTTGCTCTGATGGAGGGAGGGGCGACTGACGACATGGCTTACAGGGTTGGCTTATAGGGAATTAAAATCAACAAAGGGGGTGGCTTTACATCAAGGAGAAGCAAAAACAACTGTCACACAGAATGGCCCCCTCAAGGATTGAACTCAAAATCCTGGGTTTAGCAGGCCAATGCTCAACCCAGTCTCCCCACAGTATTCCAGGCAGTACTGAGTCTCCATTAAAGTTTTCAATGTGCCCCTGACAGACCTTACTGAAACAATTGTTGGCTGTTGATTTCACGGAGGGAGGAAGGAAGGGGGAGCAAATGAATACACAACAAATCTGGTCTATTTCTTGTTTTGATCCACTCCATCTATCTTCTACATCTTTGGCTGGCAGCAGATGGTGCAGTAGGACTGCTAGCCATTCTCATCTCCTGGCTGCTTGGCAGAAGATGGTGCAATAGGACTACTAGCCATCCTCATCACCTGGCTCCTCGCCAGAAGACGGTGCAATACGGCTGCCAGCAGGACTAAAGAGAATGACCTGGTCGAGTCACTCTGTTTTAGTCCCTGCGCCCATGTCTGCCCAGGCACTCCTAACCGACCTTACTGAGGAGGCCAAGAGAACCTCGGACCTGGTGACGGTGGTTATCAGGCCTATTGCACTGTCTGCTGCCACAAGGCAATGAGCTGCTGCTAGGTAGCAATGCAGTACCGCGTCTGCCAGCACCCAGGAGACACACGGTGACAGTGAGCTGAGCGGGCTCCATGCTCACCGTGGTATGGTATCTGCACAGGTAACTCAGGAAAAAAGGCGCAAAACAATTTTCTGCCGTTGCTTTCACGGAGGGAGGGCCTGACGACATGTACCCAGAACCACCCGCGACAATGTTTTTGCCCCATTAGGCATTGGGATTGCAATCCAGAATTCCAGTGGGCGGCAGGGACTGCAGGAACTATGGGATAGCCACCCACAGTGCAATGCTCCAGAAGTCGACACTAGCCTTGGTACTGTGGAAGCACTCCGCTGAATTAATGCACTTAGAGCATTTTGTGTGGGGGAGGGACACAATCGACTATATAAAAATGATTTCTAAAAAACTGACTTCTATAAATTCGACGTAATTTCGTACTGTAGACATACCCTTAGATAACTCTGATAATTCTACAGCTAATAAATGCTGACAAGTGCTGACCTCAAGGATAAGTGCATTTATCTGTATACCAGTCTGGGCTCATCTAGCTGTTTGTACATCCTGTGAAAGAGACAAGTCATTGCCTGCTTAGTCTTACCCTTTTTCAATTGTGAGTTACAAGATGAACGCTAAGATTAACAGAAAAAACCTTTTCAGATTTAGTCTCAAGATGGATTTCATTTATGGTTGATAATGGCTTCCTCCAGTATGAAAGAAATCCAACACTGGCTTAGGCAAACCATTAAATCAATGACAAAAACTGTTAATGCAAAGTTCGGGTTGCTTGATGGCAGTTTATCCCCTTGCAGAACATTTAGTTGAGCAAAACTCAAACTTCTATAAATCAGGAAACGCACATTTCACATTGCCCATGTAACCTTAACTCTGTCCTCTTTCAGCAATACACGAATATGCCCCGTTAACCCACATACCAACCCCAGCATTGAAAAATGGTACAAGGTCTTCACCTCCTTTTACAGCCCATTCACTCTCACCCACAAGATTCCATCTAACACTCTTAAAGGATAAAGTGGCCCATGCCACCTGTCCAGTACCCTCTTTCAGCAATGCCTCAATATGCACAGAGTAGATACAGTGGCCATAGGCACTTTAAAATTCAGGAGGTTCCAGATCCCAGCATACATTCCCACACCTAGCCAACTCCCCAGAAAGTATACCACACGTACACTTTAAGAACAACTTCAAAGCCTTTTACAACTCCCTTACGCTTCTTCCCAGGATACCATCTTAACCTACACTTTCACTTAACCCCCATTAAAGCAGTAGAATCCTCTCCGATTCCACCTCAGTGACTGCCGACACTGTCCTTTATAATAGAAGCCCTAGGCCCTGCTACCAGCACAACCCTGCAGAGTTCTGCATAGAAATGATGCATATGCATCCCAAAGGCACACACGTATCTTATGGCTTTCCTCACACACATGAGAAGATGGAAAACCGAGATCTCCTCGTATCACAGCCACACTCTATCACACACCCCAAAGTGATTCACAGATCTCACCAACACACCTCAACCAAGCGGAGCTAACTGCTGCCTCCAACATTCAATACAGCTGCACCTGACACTGACCACATTCATGTTATTGGTGTGCGTGCAGATAACAAATGCTTAGACAGCTCTCATATCCCAGTTAGCTGCTGTCCATACCCTTTGTAATAAACCTCTGTGCCATTCTAATTGTGTAACATACACAGTTCTGCACTGAAATGATGCAGACTGAATCCTGAAGGTAGACATGCAGCTCTTCTCTTTGCTCACAGATGAGAGAGTAGAAAACAGAGATCTCCTCATCTCAGAATCACAGCTCTGTCCCACACCTCAAAGTAATCCACAAATGTCCTCATATCACAAACACACTTTTACCAAGCAGGTCCCACTATTGCCTCCACGACATAGTGTAGATACACCTAACATCCTAACTGCACCTAGAGCATATGTAAATAATTCCCATTGGCTACTGCCAGCTCCAGCGGAAGAGAAGAAAGGTCACGTGGGTAAATGACCCCAAATTTGGGTCATTAACCTTATCCTCCTCTCTCCTGAAACACATCAAATTTCAAAGGAATCAGTCTAAGTATGTTGATTTTAGAGAACTTAGAAAGGTTAACCTTTTAAACAGAAATTGTGACACAACCTTAATTAAGATGGCACCGCTGCATCACTGTAATAACAGAGACAGTCCCTGCCCCAAAGAGCTCACAAGTGAAATGGTTGATGGGTGCAGGATTTGTGCCTGAGTTGGGGCACATTGGCAGATCTGTGGGGTGAATAGATGTTGGGGCACGCTGGCCGAGTAGTTGTAGTGCATTGGCAGACCTGTGGGTTGCAGAGAGGTTGAGGTACAATGGCAGAGCTGAGGCTGCAGGAAGGTTGGGGAGATGCCATGCCTCCCTCACCTGAGTTCCCAACCTCTTTCTTCTCCGCTGTCATAGAATCACAGAATTGTAGGACAGGAAGGGACCTCAAGAGGTCCTCTAGTTCAGTCCCCTGCATTCATGGCAGGATTAAGTATTATCTAGACAGCGGTTCTCAAAGCTGGTCTGCCGCCTATTCAGGGAAAGCCCCTGCCACGCCGGACTGGTTTGTTTACCTGCCACGTGAGCAGGTTCGGTTGATCGCAGCTCCCACTGGCCGCGGTTCACCGCTCCAGGCCAATGGGGGCTGTGGGAAGTGGCGCGGGCCAAGGGACATGCTGGCCGCCCTTCCCGCGGCCCCCATTGGCCTGGAGCGGCGAACCGCGGC